ATATCAGAAAACAAACAGGCACTTTCATGTCACTGCGTGAACGTTAGGTTGCAGTATGGATAGACGCAAGGCAAAAAGTCCCTGTCTCATCGCAGGCCAAAAGTTCCACAGTGCCAAAAAGAATAAGGATAAACACAATAAGTCAAGTTTCATAAAACTTGTATGCCTTAAATGGATTCAAAGCTCCGTTTATCTTCTTCCAGGTATACACTCAAGAGAAATAAAAACATGTCCACATAAAAATGTGCATGCAAAGGCTCGTAGCAACATTATTTATAGTATTCAAAACATGGAAACAACCCAAATTTCTATCAACTGATGGATGAATAAATATAATTTGGTACATCCATATAGTGAAATACCATTTGGTCAAGAAAAGAATTAAGAGTTGGATGCAGTGGCTCAAACTTGTAATCTCAGCACTGTGGGAGGCAGAGACAGGATGATCACTTGACAGCAGAATTTAAGACCAGACTGGACAACATAGTGTTACTTTATTCCTACAAAATATTTTTTAAAAGTTAGCCAGGCATAGTAGTGTGATCCTGTAGTCTCAGCTACTCAGGAGGCTAAGATAGGAGGATCACGTTAGCCCAGGAGTTTAAGATTGCCAAGCAATTGAAAAAAAAAAAAAGGGCTAGAGTCTTTACATGGCTTTTGTATAGTTAATCAGTGTGGATGTGTGTGTTTGTTTTCTGATTTAAAAAAATAATTGCAATATGATGTTAATGAAAAAAAGAAATAAAGCACTGATATATGTTAAAACCTACACAACGTGGATGAACCTTGAAAACATTATCTTAAGTGAAAGAAGGTAGTCACAGAGTGTGATTCCATTCTATGAAATGTCCAGAATAGACAGAAAGTAGATTAGTGGTAGCTAGGTGCTGGGGTTTAAGGATACAGAGTTTCTTTGGGGGACAATTAAAGCGTTCTAAAATTGGGGAGGGCGCAGTGGCTCACACCTGTAATCCCAGCACTCTGGGAGGCTGGGACAGGTGGATTGCCTGAGCTCAGGGAGTTTGAGACCAGCCTGAGCCAGAGTGAGATATCCTTTCTCTTAAAAAAAAAAAAAATCCAGCACTTGTGGCAGGTGCCTGTAGTCCAGCTACTCGTGAGGATGAGGCAAGAAGAGTTTGAGGTTGCTGTGAGCTGTGATGCCACAGCCCTCTACTGAGGGCAAAAAAAGTGAGATTATGTCTCAAAAAAAAAAATTAAAGAGTTCTAAAATTGATTATGTTGATGGTTGCACAATTTTGTGATTATACTAAAACACATGTATTGTATACTTTAAATGCATAAATTTTATGGTATATGCATTACATTTCAATAAGGCCAACATGGAAAAAAAAATAGAAAATCATTCCAGAGAGTTCAGCCATCCTGGAAGCAGAGTCTAAGGCCACCTCCACGGGGAATGGGAACAGAAAGGTAAATTAGAGCATTTTAGTATCAGGCTCCAAAAAGGAGGTCTAATAGTAGACTCCCTCATCTGAATTAGACTTTACCTGGCCACCTTTCTTAGGCAACTCTGCCTGGCCTGTTAGGTTCCCAAGACCCACAACATGTGGGTGTCTTCTCAGCAGGAAAGAATTTAAATCATGGAAGCTAGAGTTATTAGATGAAGTAGTGATTCTGTCATAGACAACATTTAAAAGCCTGAAATTAGTAGAGAAGATTTGGGGTGCATAAGCAATGGCAGGACTCATCTCCACTCTCCCCACGAAAGATAAGCTACGGGAGTCTGGCAAGACTGCAGATATGTAGTGATTCAGAGCAGTGGAGACAGCTGGCATTGGGAGCCACGTAGTAGAAAATTCTAGGAGTCTATCATTGTGACTGAATAGAGGACCATCTCTACATCTCAGCAGCTACCTCTAGAAGGTTTGTCCAGACATCAAGGGAAAGCAGCAGTTTCCAAATTGCCAAGGGTACATTAGTGTTAAGGTTTCCAAGACATAATAAAAAGAAGTGTCCCGTATCTTGATCTCATAGGGGGCAGGGACACAAGGCAGTGTGTGGGGTACCTGAGAGGAGATGCCCTGGAGGGAAGAGACAGCAGATAGTCAGGGGCCAAGTGAGCCTGAAAGGCTGAACTCCTAGCTATACAGGAAGGACTTGCAGGGAACAGGGAGGAGCATTAAGAGGGACTCTGGAGGCAGCCCCACAGGGCAGCTCCACACACAGGGCAGTACACAGGGCAGTACACAGGGCAGCCTGGGGGCAGGTACAGGCCACTATTGCTGGGTCTACTGCCAGGCTGGTGGTGCTAAACCATGGGTGTCAGTGAGGCAGGCTTAGAGGTGGAATGAGGCAGGAAGGAGAAGGCCAGGCACCATCTAGTTGTGTAGACTGCATGGGAAGGACAGAGAATTCCGGCTCAGCACATCGAAGAGTAAGGGACTCAGGTACGAGGTCTGGGCCATGAGCTCCACACCCTGATGGGGGTTAGTCCCAGGTGAGGAGTGGGGCACGCTCGTGTAGGGGCTCAGGCATG